GCGGCTTTGGAGGCAGATGAGGGGAGGCAGACGAGGGGCCTCAGTCGGGGCCTCCTTCTCATTTCCCACAATGGTTCAGGGGGCCCTGCCTGCCTTTCCCTTGATATTCCCAATAAATACCTCATTGTCACCCTTCCCTCTGGCTCTAGGCTAAGTGGCCCCATAGAGAAGCTTATCTCAACACCCACCCTCCCCTCCCTGAGCCCCCAGCACAACAATGCCACCTTTCTCTGGAGCCTCCCCCCGCCCCCCCAGCCAGCCCAGGCCTGGGACTCCTCCCCGCCACCGCCCTGGAGTGCCAGGCAGGGTGAAGACCTCCGGCCGCCACCTAATTGCCCTAAAGATGTCCACTGCCCTCCAGGGCCGGCTTCCAGGGCACTAGGCCTGGACAACAGCCCTTCCCGGCTCTGGAGCTCCTCAAAGCCTCTCTGTTAGCAGCTTCCTCCTGGCTCACTGTGGTGCTCAGTCACTGGGACTTGCCTGGACGCGTGGGATTTTCCCTTCTTCACCCCCGCCCCCGGCCCCCGACCAGGGACTACCACGACCTATCTGGTCACTGCTGGGAAGCCCGGTCCCTCCTGGAGCTGACCTCCTCCTACCCTGGTCCCTCCTGGAGCTGCCCCCTGCCCTGGTCCCTCCTGGAGCTGCCTCCTACCCTGGTCCCCCCTGGAGCTGCCTCCAACCCGGTCCCCCCCCCGGAGCTGGCTGGCCTCAGACCTGAGCAGGTGGGGCCCAGGTCAGAGGGAACAGGTCTCAGGGCAGCTCCCAATGCCAGGGCCCCAGAACAGATTGGGGGGTGAGGGTGACGGGTGGGCTGGCTGGGGACGAGTCCTGACCATCAGCCGAACATCCCGGGAGAGACCAGTCCACCTGGGGTGGGGTTTCCGAGGGATGGGCTCGTGGGCGCAGGACGAGGAGCGCGGGAGTGGAGGAGGACGGGCGGTGTGGAGATGAGCAGCTGCGGGGTGAGGGGCCAGCATAGGGGAGGCCGAGCTGGGCCCCGTCCCACAGCCCTGCTCTCCACGGAAGCCTCCAGGAGCCACCCTTTCCCAGGGGTCTGGCTCGAAGGTCCCAGTGGGAGGGAGAAGTGGGGTTTAAATCCCAGTTCCTATGCCCACTCACGTTTGACCTTGAGCAGAGTAACCAATAGCTTGGCACCCACTGGGTGCTGCTCCCGCCATGAGACCTTTGGAGGTGATGGCGTGGGGAAGAGGCGGGGAGATGGGGCAGGGCGTGTGATGACTGGTTTCCTGCATCTCGGAGCCACTCCGTGAGGAGCTCAGCGTCTTGCGTGTCCCAACACTAAGCCTTCAAACTCCCTCATGGCCACTCCACTCCATGCTGGCTCAGGAACAAGTCCTGCCCAACGACGGCCTGTCAGGACTTCGGCGAAGGCTCAGGGCCAGGTAGAGACAGCA